GTAGTGAAACAGAAACGATGGAGGAAGTTTCTCCTCTAGATATGGAAGTCTATGTATCGACTTTTCAATTAGCCAAGGATCTTGAACCTGAACACATACCCCTACCAGAGAACGTTACAGAGCTCGAAGAACTAACTGAGAATGATTATATTTCGCATCCGAGTAAACATGAGCATAAAGGAAAGCTGGAGCATGTTTCTCGTTTTCCTGGGGGAAAAGTTCAGGATCCAACTCCGCTGCCAACTAGAAAACTCGACCTTACCGAACTACCTCTGCAGGCCAATGATTCAGAGAACGAGATATCGGTAATTACAGAACCAAACCGGTCCGACCAAAAAGAAAAGCTGGAGGTTGTAATTTCACCCCCTAAGAGAAAGGCTGAGGGACCAGCTTTTCAACCACCCGAAGAAATTGACTCTGCAACTATACCTCTGCAAGAAGACAAGGAAGAAATCCACGGATTTTTGGAGGCGGCAGAACATCCTTTCGGTCAACCACCTCCTGCTGCAGTTGAGATGTCCCAATCAGCTGATATCGTCTCTGAGGACTATGAAGATAATTCCCTGTTGCCGAAATCACTTAAGTCTCTCGCCTCTGAGTTATCTCTGGGGGGTGAAGTGCCTCACATTGAATTTTCTGTTGACAATACCGAAAGAAATACACGGCAGCCAAATAAGAAAAAGGGGAAGAAAGGAAAGAAGGTCCGCAAATATACTGTGGGGGAGACTGAAACTGGCGACTTTAAGGCTTCAGAAGCGGAAGCGAGCAAAGAAGTTAAGTCGGAACAACCTGCAGGTACCGTCGATTCTTCCGTTCAAGATATAAAGGAGCTTGAGTCAGTACCACAGTTTCCAGAGGGAGTTGACACTGGGCCTCCGTCGGAGAAGGCAACAAATGAGAGTGCAGAGATCAATGCAACCAATTACGTCTCACCACATCCAATAGGCGAAATCGATATACAAATCGACACGTCTACAAAGGCTTCTAAAAAACAAAAAAGAAAGGATAAGGAGAAACAAAAGTTATTGGAAGCCCCAGAGGGTCCGCCAATTCAATCAGGTTCTTCAAATGACATTCCCTTAGTCGACATTGTTACGGAGCGAAGCACTGAGTATGAGCCCAAATCTGAGAAATTAACGGCGGAGAATGACATCGTTATGGGGGAAGCTACACCAGCAGGTTTACCCAATGCCATTAGTAAGGACGGGCAACCAGTGGATGATGTACATCCATTATCTCAGTTGAAGGTTGTAGAAGATCCAATTATAAACGCAAGAGCGTCTCCATTGGCTGAAAATTACCTCACCTCCCAGAATACTGAACAAGATATTGGTCGAGACTGTCCCACAGATACTGCTATTGCGGGGAACGCCCTTCAACCTTCCCTCTGCAATGAAGAGCTTGTTTCTAAGGAACTTGAGAGCGATAAGTTGTTCCAACATGATACACCTGCAATTGACACCCAAAAATCAAAGAAAGGGAAGAAGAGTAAAAGGAAGCGCCAATCGGTAATTTGTGGTGATGAGGCCTCTGGAGTCGAAAGTTTTCAGCCAAAGTCCGCGTCACTCCATGGGGGTGATGCCAATGAACCTCAACTTGAAATAGAGCCACTCCCCTTTACTTCAGTTAGCAATCCTGGAACTAAAGCATCAAAAAGCTCGAAAGAAAAGCGGAAAGCCAAAAAGGACAAGAAATGGACAACTGATGACCCTTCTACAACTGAAGAACATCAACTGTCTAAGAGACTCGAGCGTGCTGATGCTGATGCAACTTCAGAGCCTTTGAGCCATTCAAGGATTGTGGAAATAGAAGCTCTGGCGAAACCAACATCTTATTTACACGAAGATGGGATTGAAACATCTATAGCAGAGCTTTCTGAAGCTCAATCATTTTCCATCCGAGATGCATCAGACATGCCTGCCATCCCCGGTGCATGGGCAGACGACGATGATCAAGTTCTCTACACTTCAGGCATAGACAACGAAACAGTTTCCCGCAATGCGCCACCTGCCAATGACGACGGTAATGAATTTCAGATTTTAAAAAATAAGAACAAAATGAGCAAGAAAAAGTGCCGATTTTCCGATTGGACTGATGAAAGTACGTCTTTGCAGATAGAAATGAAAGATATTTCGGAATCAACAACGCCTAATCCTTTGAGGCAATTGCGTAAACCGTCCACTGCATCTAGTGAACTTCCTGAAGCTACTATTCCGAAGTCTGAATCATTCCAAGTTGCTCCTGAATTCGCTCCTGCACAGTCGATTTCCGATGCAGAAAATTCCCAAGAGTCCTTCACACAAGCTGGCCACATTGAATCGTCCAATTGTACGTATACAACATCTGAAATTCCCAGAGACTTTATGCACGAGGCCGTCTCGCCAAAACCTAAAGGTGGTTCATTCAAAGGTTCTCCCCTGCAACCTTCCGTTATCGACGGCGACAAATTATTAGATGTTATAACCAAAAGCGAACGGAGGTCCTCTGGAAATGAAAATGGTCTCGTTTCAGTTTCTGATGAAAGGGAGGAGTTACGGAGCAAACCTCCCAATCCAGGAGGGCCAAAAACTGAAGTTGTTATTCAAGCCGGCGTTGGGGAAGTTAGAGCAGTCGGAGAGACAACAGAAGACTTGATTGTTCTTACAACCGACGACGGCGTTCCGTCTGACGATCCAGTCTCTAAAACTCTGACAATGACTGAAGTACACGCTCTTTCATTTTCAGTGGAGGAAGCAGCACCACTTTTCCCACAACTATCTCCACAGCCACCGGTATCTGAAGATTTTGATTGTGTGATAGAGAATGCGACCAATAATGACTCAAATTCTGTATTGGAACAAGGAAACATTGTTATCTCACCGACAAAAGAAATTGACCTGTTGGCATTTGGTGGGCCACTTGTAGCGCTAAGGGTGGAGTCCAAAAAACAACCACAGACAAAAGATGAAGACAGACACATTTCGAGTAACATGGACGCTCAAAATCTCATGGGCGCATATCTTTCCGATGTCATGTTTTCTGAAGATATTCTTCTCTCAGCTTTGCCTGAATCTTGCGATCCCAATTCCACAAAGCCAGATATAGGGCCTGTACCTGATCCTCAACTTAACTCTGAGCCCGACAGCTGGAATGCCACGTCAACAGAAAAAGGGAAGAAAAAGTATAACAAGAAAAGCCGGGATACTCATGAAAATAGAACTCCCACAACCAATGAACCAAATACTAATCCTTTTACCGACACCGCCACTACATTTGATCCCGGCGAGTTGATCCTTGAGTTGACGAACGAAAATATTGATAGAAAGGCTTGTGACTGGGATGTACCGATAACTAAGAAGGACAAGGAGAAAAACACAAAGTCTCTTCATCTTGAAGAAAGTAGTTTTCCCACTCAGTCAACTAAAATTCTACATATTACCGAGAATCCATCATTTGCATCGGCAGATGCAGAATATGAGGGGAGAGATATCCTTTTGAGTGTCACCTCCACTGACGAGGGGAAGAAGAATAACACGATAAACCCCGTTTTACAAGAAAGTAACGTCATTCCTGGTAAGCGGCTTGTGGGTGATCATGTGGCATCTGAAGAAAACGAAGTACAATTTGAGCAGCGAGAGGCTGATAGCTTGAACGTCTGGGCCACCAATCTAGAAAATGGAGACAATAAAAATAAGGAAATGGACTCAGCGTTTGGAAAAGATAAAGTCATCTCTGATAACCATTCCAGTGAAGATTTTGCGAACGTTTTGGATGACGCAAAACCATCTGGAGCAACACATGTAAATGCAGAACAGAAGGAAGTTGACAGCTGGAGCACTACAAGTACAAAGAAGGGCAAAACAAAAAATAGAAAGACGCAAGCTGTTCAAGACGACCCTTCTCCTTTAGCTGTTCCTGAGCCTCAGACCCAGATGGAATTTGACCCTCAGACAGAACTGAGTCACCAGGAATGGAATTCTACGTCGGAAAAACCAGGGAAGAAAATTGGAAAGAGTCGAGATGGTCAACCTGAAGGTACTCTGGTTGCGGAATCCTTACATCTCCTGCCCAAGACAACAGAGCCTGAACCATCAAAATCTCCAAGTCGTGGCGCGTCGAAAAAGGAAAAGAAAGCCAAAAAGAAGGGAAAGAGAGAACTTTGGGGTACAAATGATGATGACAAAGATGATGTAGTGAAAGCCATCCAAGTTCCGGATGAACCGTTTAACACTATCAACCGCGGTCCTGCTCTTCCAACCGAGACACAAACCACTGAAGCACAAGCTCTCACCGGGGTCCACGCTACAGAGGCACAAATAATTGCTGCAGAGAAATTTGAGAAAGATGATTTTCCAGCGCTTGAGAAAACTGCCAGAAGCTTGGCATTGGAACAGAAACTGCAGGTTGCTAATGAAATTAAGGAAACCCAATCTGGTGTTGACAATGGGTCTTCTCTTCCAGCACCGGCTAATCCTGAGTTGAACCCCCATGAGACGAAGGGCGACTATGCAGATGAGAATTATAAGGATAATGTTTGGGAAGGGCTATCGAACAAGAAAATATTGAAAAAGGATAAGAAGAATAAGAAGGGAACAAGGCATGCTGTGGACGTCGAAGAGAAGGTTGAAAAGCCAGTGGAGGATGTGAAAGAAGTAGCAGAGCCAAGTCAGGAGGCAGTACCTCAGGAAAGCGCATCATTGAAAAGATTTCTATCAAAGAAAGAAAAGAAGAAGAAACAACTTCTGAAATTTGATGAGTCAACAACGCAACCGGAACTCCTTCCCATACTTGACGTATCTGCTACAGAAATTTCTCCAGAGAAGGACGATGGATTCACAGAAGTACCACAAAACCCGGAGCCTACAGAGTCACCAATAAGAAAGGGAGTCTTCGATAAACCACAAAATGAGGATTACGATTACTGGCCGTCAATTGATTGGCTTCAAGATAAGGCTTTGAATTCTCAGTCGAAGCCAAAGGAACTCGATACATCGTCACTCGATTTGTTCCTCTCGGGTGATGAGCCAAACCCAAGAGAGGATCATTTCACACAGCAATCGCCACACTCACCCAAACTAGTTGATAATTCTATTGGCGACTTCGATGAAGATGCCAGCCTTGTTGGTCAGAGTGGAGGCGATAAATCAGCTGCTGATTCGCTCTTGTCGTCATCAAGCAAGCGAGTTCCTCCTGAGCATAAGTGTGTTAGCGACCACCGGCCAGAAAGCGTTCTCAATAGCGAGCTACCTTCTATTTCACTAGACGCTGACGTCGGCACTGAAGCTCTCCTGGAAGACTTTGATGTCGCTGGACTCTTGAAAGAAAATCTCAGTGAACGATTGCCTTCCCCGCTTTCAGTTCCGCAATCACCGGATGCGGTTCTAGCCTTGGAAAAAGGCCCGGCAATAGAATCACCTGAAAATATGGAAGGTGCTCATCCATCTATTGGATTTTCAGCGGTGACCATAAGCGATGACTTTTGGGCTGTTGGCGGAAGCAAACAGAAAAAGAGTAAGAAAGGTAAAGGTAAAAAGAAAGCGCTTGAACAAGAGGGCTGGGAAATTTTGAGCCATTCTGGCCCTCTTGCAGATGATCCTGCCGATACCGAACCTCCTGGTTGCAACACCACCAAAGCGCTACCCGAAATGTTCGTTGAAAGCCCCGCTGCGGCTACACATGTCGAAGCAGTAGAACCTCCTATAGCACCTGTAATTACTCGAATGAAGGATGACAATGACAGTTTTTGTGGGGTTAGTGGTAAGAAAGGAAAGAATGGCAAGGGTCTAAAGAAGAGACAGAAGGACCAGCAGGACGTCCATGTTGATGAAGGCCGAGCTCCCCATCAACTCCTGGCGGAGACTCTAGAAACGCACGCTTCAAAGGAGGTCACTTCATCAAGATCACATTTGGAGGAGCATGGCAAATCACAACCATCCGGAGTAGTAGCCAGCGTTTTCCCGTTCATTGAACGGGTATCTAGAAGATACCCCTCTGAAGATGCGGCCTCCAAAGAGACACCCACACAGGAGATACAATCAGCCTCGACAAAAGATTATATCTTTCCGCTACTCTCCGACCTAAAAATTGATGCTGAGGTCGTTTCTAAGTTCGAAGATTCCGTGAAATGCCGACCGAGCCTTGACCCAATCCCAGAGATCCCGGCTGCTGTAGGAGATTACGATCATTCAATCGATGTGAGTTATAAGCATTCCGAGCCCGAATTGCCAGTCATCAAACACACTCTTGAACGGAGGCCGTCTTTTTTGGATTCAATATCGGAAAGGAGGTCTTCATCTCCATCTTTCCTTTCTTCCCCGTTGACGCGAGTTGACGTGGAGCATTCTAGGCCGGTTTCCCATAAACCTGCTGGACGCGAACTTTCCCAATCCTCCACCGTTTACCAGGACTCTAAAAGTCTTCAGAGTGGGTCGTCTGTTATTCTGCCAGCTATCAGTCTTAGGCGACAGAAAGAGACAGGAGCTAGTCCTAAAATTCCTCCTCTAGAACAACCTCACTCAATATTTGGAGGCCCTTTCGGACTTGGGGGCGACCATGATGTGATGGTATCTCCTCCACGAACCCCACTTGCGACGATAAAAGAACATGTTCCAACAGACTCTCCGCGCAATGCGCGTAACCGCGAGCTTTCTGACGTTGGATCGCGTGACAGAGGAGTGAAAGCTGCCCGGCATACAGAAAACCCACACCCTGCATTTGGGCCAAAGCATGTGTCACCACCACGTAAATTCAATCATGCTTCAACGCCATCACATTCGAGCAGTGATGCGGCGGCAGATAGAGGTTTAGCGTCCCAGCTAGACACTTTGGATATCCCGAAAAAGGGGCGTGTTGATCGGTTCCCCACCAGCCAAAGACGGTCTCCAGGTAACCCGCATCCCCACGAGTGGACAACATCACCCGAACATAGGGAAACCTCACAATCTCTCAGCGTTGGCAGCACAGTCTCTTCGGGAGGTTCTCCAGTTCCAGGGCTGCGTCGAGTGCCCAGCACTAGCAATACAGACCTTAGGGCAGCTAGCAAACACGACAAAATCACTAGATCCATGTCACGTGACTCCGAACGCGACTTGGAGGGCATTGCTTCGTCAAGTCATTACGACCCGGTCATTGACAAAGGAAAGCGACCGGTGCGTGGCATGGAGGATGTCTACGTAGGTCATTCTATTTGTTCTTCTTTTTTATCTTTTCTTCTTCCATACTATTAATATCTGTCTCACAGATAAACTAACGATGGATGCCGAATCGCAGGAGGGTTGGGGTGACGTGCCCGGCAGTTCCCCGCGTTCGCCAACCCGCCCACATAGCATGCGGAGACGACGCAGCTTGCAACATCTCCAGGACCTCGAAACCCGCGTCGACCATCTCGTATCTGAAAATCGCCTACTTTCCACCCAAAAAGCCAACGTAGAGAAATTCCTCGAATCCCAGACCATCGCCCAGAGACAGGCGGAGCGAGCACTACAAACACGTGACCAGGATATCTGCAGCAAGGACTTGGAGATTCTACAGCTGAAGAACACTTTGGAGTGGTTCAAGAAGGAAATTGCGCGCTTAATAGAGACAAATGATGTGCTTACGGCAACTAATACTGGGCTGGTGGCCTCGCATGCGTCCGAAATGAGGCAGCACGCTGAATCCAAGCAACATCTATTCGAGTCACAACAAGGTTTAAGGGAACTTCAGGATGAACACTCTCAGCTGTCTGCCGGCCTGGAAGGGATTGTACAGAATGAGATAAATAATATCTTGGCGGAGAAGAATGCTGAACTTGAACACTTGCGTTCTGAACTAGCCAACGCGCGGGACAAGGTCAAGGAACTTCAAATACAGATCATGGAGACCATGGCTGACGATGTGCTCGTTTTTCGGGATGAAGATTACTTCGATGCACAATGTCAAAAGCTTTGCCAACATGTACAACAGTGGGTGTTGCGGTTCTCCAAGTTCTCGGACATGCGGCTGTGTCGACTTACCAGCGCACTCCGCGACGAGAAAGTCACAGCGCGGTTCGCAAATGCCATCCTTGATGGCTCAGATGTCGATACATACCTTTCCGATCGTGTTCGACGAAGAGACGTGTTTATGTCAGTGGTGATGACACTGGTTTGGGAATACATCTTCACTCGGTATCTCTTTGGTATGGATCGGGAACAAAGACAGAAATTAAAGACCTTGGAAAAGCAGCTGAGTGAGGTAGGACCACCAAGTGCCGTCCAGCAATGGAGAGCTACGACGCTCGCACTTCTTGCTAAGCGACAAGCGTTCCATGAACAGCGTTCCAGTGACACCGAAGCAGTGGTGCAGGAAATCTATTATACTCTTTCCAAGCTGCTACCCCCTCCGCGCGACTTAGAAAGTACAATACTGGAGTCATTGCGGAACGTCATGCGAGCAGCGGTGGATCTTTCTATCGAAATGCGCACGCAACGGGCAGAGTACATCATGCTGCCACCTTTACAACCAGAACACAATGCCAACGGCGAACTAGCCCGCAAGGTACACTTCAAGGCCGCTCTAATGAATGAGCGAAGCGGCGAGACAACGTCGAACGAAGAGCTCGAGGCACAAGAAGCGGTTGTGAGGATAGTGCTGTTCCCGCTCGTGGTCAAGAAGTGCAGTGACGAAGGGGACGGCGATGAAGAGATTGTGGTGTGTCCAGCGCAAGTGCTTGTTGCGCGACCGGGGAAGGATAAGAAGGTGGTGAGGGTGCTTAGTGGGGACCGGATGTCTATTGACCAGACAAACCAGTCGATACAGAGCCATCCGTCCATCAGCATAGATCCGGGCAACGTGATATGAGGCGTCACACTCCATAGCGTCGTATGTACATTACCTGTATGTTGGACTGTAGATGGATGAGGAGTTCAACCTTCTGGATTGATGACTATTTTTCTGTTCTTTTCTTCTTTTCTTTCATTTCCTTTCTTTTTTACATATTTCTGGATTTTACGGCTACAGATACTGGGGACTCCAAAAGAAAAAGGAACGGATATCCAATGTTTTTAATGGCTTTATTTCCTGCGTGCGTTTTATATGTGTCTTATTTGCTTTCGGGATTATCCTCTTTTTTTTTACATTTTGCGACTTTATGTACAGAGCATCAATGATTTATGACGATGAGAGATGTTTACCAATGTTGATGTTTTGATTTGATTTGCATGTATTAATCTACATATATTTTAGAGATGTAGTTTCTTGGTTTCTTTTGAATGAAAATCATATGAAATCATGATAATTAATTCAGTTATTTCCTCTTCAGTATGAATGTAGATTATAAAGTGCATCTGCTGTATATGTAGGGATTGTGTAGAATGTGAATCAATCAGCAAGCAGAATCAAACAAAGAGTTACTCAGTTAGCTAATCCATTGCTTATTACATACTTATAGCTCGTTAACTAGTTATTCCATAGTTGCTAATAAACACATTTCTGCTGGTTGACCCTGAACTGATTTGTTAAGATATCACGATATTTATTTGATCAATACCCACTATATTATTTGACAAATTTTCAAATTAAGCAACAACCACTAGAAATTATATATAGAAATTATATAGAATGTATCCTTAGATCTGTGAGCAGCTAGAGGCTTTGATTTTATACTGCCACATTTACTACAATATGGTAGTACTCACTTTTCAGTTCTCAGATTTAAATCTTCAACCTCCTCTCAGCAGGCTAAGTAGGCCTCTGAGTCTGAACAATCCTAGCCTGTCCTTCTTGAGGTGTTACAATTCCTTCTTCGGCTATATACATATATTTCTTCTCTCTCTTTTGTTTCTGTCTAGTGTTAGCAGCTTTCAGCTGCTTGACTTCATTAATAGAGCAATTTTATGCATGACCAGCTGATATCCTTTAAACTAGCTAATCAAGAGCTTGATTTATAGGACTAGAAAGAACATCTGTACAGAGTTTAATCTTGCTACTCTGCTGTTTCAATTGAGTTATATTGCAGAGGGGGTCTTGAGAGTCCAGGAGAATTGAATCTGTGAGATCTATGAGCTGATCCTAGTGAGTTAAAAGCATGAAATTAAGTATGTAGCTGTGTAAAAACCTCATCTGAATTGAATGAAATCAAGCTCATGGCTTTGAATTTGTTTCTTATAATAATATCTTTCATAGTCTCCTGTCTGGCTGCTGCGTAGCTGACGGAATTCCTCTTTGTCAATATAATTGATTCTTAATTTCATGCTCTGCTCAATTATCTTGCCATACACTCTCTTTAACTATGAAAAACAGCTTATATCCAGTAACAGCTATAGAAGAGAGAAGTAGAGAGTCATATATAATGCTATATAATCTTATAATTCTAACAGAATTTATTAAATTCAGCTGTGGTATAACTGTCATATCTATCTATAAGTAGCAGTCTATCCCTCAATTGTATAAGCCTTAGTATGCTTGTTAAATACCTGTTATAGCCATGTCAAGCCAAGATCATCTATAGTCCAGCTCCTTTAACTAAGACCAATTGTCCAATCCACTGGCAGTTACTTGTACCATGAGAATTGATAAAGCTTATCCTTCAGTATAATCATAGAAGGTAGAGCTCAGTCTGTAGCACTAACTGCCTCAATTACTGTTGCTCATCCTCTATTTCCTGACTGTATAAGAGATGATCTGCCCTCTTTCTCTGCTCTAATGACCACTCAAGCTGTTGAGATAACTCTGATTAGAAAGCCAATCTCATCAAAGTAGTAAGTATCCTCCGGCACAATTCCATACTTCTTTATAGTATTATCCACCACGTTAAACCATTTGCATAAGAGCTTTGGATCCTTGCATAAAGCTCACTTGTAGTTGTACTTGCATGGGAATCTAGTCTCTGTCAATGCAAAGCAAAAGAGAAAGTGAGAAAGATATCATATGTTTGTAGCTCAAGAGAGTGTTTTGAAAGCTAAAGAAGAAGCAGATCACAAAGTGTAAAGGAACAGAAAAGAAGAATGAGTGAGACTTCTGACTCTCAATCATGAAAATTTGCAGCACCTTGATGCAGTGTATGTGATGTACTAGAACATACTGCTCATAACATGCGAAAGTCATCAATCTATTTCTCTTATTTGGTTGTTGTATTGACTGATAAACAGTTGTCTCTCGCTTGCTTGGTTGGATTATGTTAAGCCCCGCCCAAACAAAAGAAGGTTTTATTGATCAAACTTCTGCCCCAGCAATTCAACCACTCCAAGTAACGAACAAACAAACGCTCAACGACAATTTCCCCGCCCCAACAACCACACAACCACTTCCCTCCATGTACCAATGCAACCACTCCTCTTCCCGGTCGCATACAATTGCCATGTTTCCCTGAGATAGTCAGCTTCGTTCCTCAGTTACATTTTCTTTCTTTTGTTTCATCCCGGCCTCATGGATCCCAGTGCCGGTCCTCATCATCCGCCTCCACCCACCACCAGCAGATCTTCCGCCAGATCACTCCAGACCAACGCAAACGGAGCAGACCTCTCACGGATGCAGCCTCAGCCTCAGAATGAACAAGAACCACAGCCTGGGAGCTCTGCTGTACCAAAGAAGCGTAGGCATCGCGGCCCTCGGAGACGCAGACATCGTCGGCCATCTTTCGCCCCGCAGCAAGACTCGTCCCATGTCGACTCCGCCGATGCAGAACGAAATGGTGCTTCACCACAGCTCGACGTCCTGGATTCTACTGGTGAACTGGAACCTTCGCAGCGGCGCCGTCCTTCCCTGTACCGCCTGGGCCAGTTGACTGGTGGGAACTTGAGTGGGACGAGTTTGGATAGCGATGTTCTGCTGGACCATAGGTATGGATATCATGACTCTGTTGTTTATGGTCATATATAAGTTCTCCTACAGAGTATACCTCTAGATATACCTGTCATTCGTTTCTTAAAGTCATACAGTGGGCAATGGGAAAGCAGAAATCTGACAACGATATGCTGGAGATTATTGTGATACAGGCACCAACCAATGATGCGCCCTCGTAGGGACAGTCGACTTGCCCAAAGCTATCGACCAGAGGTGCAACCCTCCTCTCGATCCTCAGCAAGAGCTTATCGGCCTTCTCCCAGCGCACAAGGGATGGACAGAGAGGAGTCTGAGGAAGCTGACGATCGAACCCCGTTGATTCAACCAAGTTCTATCCATAATTCCAGCTTTGTACGCTATGGGACAAGCTTAGGACGTTCACCTTCCCACTTACCACGACTGCCCTCGACAGCCTCCTCCTCCCAGTCAGTGACTGGCCGGCACTCTGCTAGGACCTCTCAAAGCGTACGGAGAGAATATGATGTCAACAATCCACCCTCCGTACCTGGCAGCCCTATTACTAGGCCAGAACTGGGCTATGATGATCGGATGATCACCGGGCTGGACTTTACTTCGGGATCTCCTGCAGTCGCCAGCATTACAAGTATGCCTTGTCATGTTATTGATGTTGACGGAGACGGAGGCCAAACTTCGAGACACAGTTCCCGGCTGGCTTCTCCAGGGTTTACTCCTCCGGAGCTGCAGCGACGACGCACCCTTGCTCTTCCCGTCGAAGAAGATGTGTGTTTTCCAACAGGTGCATTGTCAGAGTTGGGTGAAGAAGACTACGCTCCCCAGCCTCCAAGGGAGGGATTTGGTAGTGAACGAAGGCGGAGACGGAGACGTGTCTGGCCGGATCTTTCGGTACTGGAGGAATGGAGTCGCGCAGAGAAAGAAGACCGCAGCGGGGGGGTAAGAGCAAAGAACATTAACGAGCCTGTGTTAATCGGAGGCAGGTTGCGACCGCAGAATGCAGGATGGATGCGAAAGGAAGAAGATGCTCCATATCGATTCACATACTTCAACGAAGAGTTCCAGACTACCATACACAGCCAGACGATTTCGGAGCTCGTACAACCCGGTCAAACATTCCGTACCCTCTTTATCCCTGACCCCCCAGAAATAGAGGATGACTCTTCCGACGAATCCGATTCCCCTGAACTTTCCCAATATCGAGAAAATAGCATGGATACAACTGCTACAAATGGATATCATGGCGTAGACCACTACCAAAACCCTCAGCAGACCTCTAGTGATGCTACTGCAGTAACCACGGAGAAGGCAGGCAGATCTTCAGAAGCTCTACCACCGATCAAAGCTCCCAAGGAAAAGCGATATGGTTCACGGCCAACTTTCTGGCTTGATGTACTCTGCCCTGCTGACACGGAAATGCGGGTTATTTCCAAGGCATTCGGTATCCACAGCTTAACAGCAGAAGATATCATGATGCAAGAAGCTCGCGAGAAAGTAGAACTTTTCCGACACTATTATTTCCTCAACTACCGTACTTTCGAACAAGATGTTCGAAGCGAAAACTACCTCGAACCCGTCAACATGTATGTAGTTGTCTTTCGAGAGGGCGTCCTTAGCTTCCACTTCTCCATGATTCCACACCCCGCAAACGTCCGCCGCAGGATCAGACAGCTGAAAGATTACTTGATCCTAAGTGCTGACTGGATTTCGTATGCCATCATCGATGACATTACCGACGTCTTCGGTCCCCTGATACAGTCAGTCGAGAATGAGGTGGATGATATCGACGACACCATTTTGCAGCTCCACTCCGACGAGAAAGAGGTATCAGACGGAAATGCGGCGGAAGATGGAGAACCACTACCGTCCGGTTCGGATATGTTACGGCGCGTTGGCGAATGCCGCAAGAAAGTGATGAGTCTTTATCGATTGCTAGGGAACAAGGCGGATGTAATTAAGGGTTTCGCAAAACGGTGCAATGAGCAGTGGGAAGTGGCTCCCAAGTCTGAAATAGGGCTTTATCTGGGTGATATTCAGGATCATATTTTGACCATGACAAGTAACTTGAGTCATTATGAAACGTTCGTCTTCTCAGTTTCTCTTCCCAGTCCCCTGCCCCAGTACCAATTTTAAGAACACCTATTTCCCATTATAACGTCTATTTTTTGTTGCCCAATGCTAACATATTCAGACTCCTATCCCGCGCCCATTCAAACTACCTCGCACAAATAAACATCCGCATGAACGAGCGACAGGAGAAAACAGCCGATGTTCTCGGCAAACTTACCGTCCTGGGTACCATTGTTCTTCCAATGAATATCATCTGCGGCATGTGGGGTATGAATGTGAAAGTTCCCGGGCAGGATATTGATAATTTGTATTGGTTTTGGTCTAGTAAGCGAAATTCCAATTCCACGCCATTTTGTCCGATGGTTCAGTTGTTTTTTTTTTTTTTTTTTTTTTTTTTCTTCTCTCTCTCTGCATATTTTGATAGATCCAAATTTCCTTGCTTTCCAGCCTTCTGATCTAACGGCATACAGTTACTGCTGGTCTCGTCGTCTTCGCCGTCGCCTGCTTCTATATCGCCAAACGTGTATACGGAATTGTATGAGTTGAGACCTCACTTTCAGAACGGTTAGTTTTGGTAGCTGTGAGGATTTAATCAAGCTTAAAACGGGAGGCATTTCGTCCTCTCCTTTTAGAAATTTGTTGGTGACTTGATTGATGAATTGGTTTGATTTCAATTCTTCTATGACTTGCATAACCCCGGCATGGCGGATGATCTTCAACCGGTTCCTTTCCTTTGCCTTTCCCTTCATCTTCCATCTCCTTCATACCTTGATGCATGGGGAAGATTTGGACTAAGCTATATTCTGTACCTGTGTGCATATGTAATATAACCTTTCAGGGACAACATATATAATTGGAGTTGGGAGTTGGAGTTTTGTTTCATAGCAAAGGCGTATTTCTGTAACAGTTAACTACGTTGAATAGTTTTCTTTCTCTCCGGGCGGTTCCTATAGAGGAAAATGTATGGCAACTAGCGTAATAAGAATGGAATGAAGATACAGTTTTGCTAAAAACCATACAATGCACGCCCTTGATCAAGACTCTGAGACAATGTAACATCTTGATGACCATGCTTCAATTAATCATATTCAAGTATACCACCATATTGCATATTCTGCACATCGAATTTATCTAGCTACTTTTAATCTCTTTAAGGGATTTCGTTGTTTCGTTATATACTCTTTCATCATTAGAATGGAGAGATGGAATAATCAAGCAGTGATGTGGGGAGAGTGAACAAGTCGCACATGACATCATAATGGAAATCGTCAAATGACGTGCAAGTTACATTCTAAGGAATAAATGACCCAAAAAAAAAAAAGAAAAAGAAAAAGAAAAGGAAAAACAAATGGTGCATAACTACATAGAAAGGTCAAATCGCAGATATATATATAATGAAGAGTGGGGAATACAAGAACAGGAGGACGAACTAACAGATGGCGGCCCAAGGAAAAAAGAAAGAAAAGAAAAATAGCCGTTAAACTGAGAAAAAAGCATGGGATGTAAAATAAATCACAGTAGTGGAGGCCATCTTGTTCGTTCATTGGTATCATCTGGCCCAGTTGAACCATCCCTTCTTCCATCCTTTTAAAGATTTCTACTTCCCCAACTCCCACCAGAGCTGGGCTTCACCAAACACAGCGCCCTGTTTTACGTCCGTCTTGTCCTCACCGTACACGTGCCAAACAATGATCATCTCCATGGTACAAGGAGTCGATGGCCCCGCGCGTCAAAGCGATCGGAAAGCTCAATGGTCGAATCTGATTCTACATCGAGGTTGTTGTTATGGACCCTGGTATGGGTTTTGTCGCTACTATGTTGTGGTGTTGCTGATGTTGTACGGGGGAAACTTGGTGTTGGCGGAAATGGTATTGATGCTGGCGAGGCCGTCGATTGGTGAGGATGGTAGGATGTATGGGTGCGGAGTCTGTGATGGGGTCGGGAGTGAAACCGAAGACGAGAACGATCCAGTCCGTCCATGGTTGAGTCGCTGTCATCAGTCTCATAGCCTTGATTTTCGCCTGTGGGGATTCGTGCACGTCTATCTGTAGATGGAGAACTGGCGTAATGCGGTCGGAGATCGAATTGGACGGACTTGGCTGGTATCGAGGCGGGTTGGCTGGATGACCTTGGTCGTGAAAAGGTATTGAATAGGTTTCGTGAGGTTGGTATTGGTTGTGGCGATGTTGATAGCGGTGGTGGAGTGGGAGCGAAAGGAGAAGCAGAGTAGCCGAGAGTGGTTGCGGACTGCGCACCAGCACCACTGACTGGGTGGGTTGATGGCAGCAACAGCTGTCGTGAGGCTGTTGCCATTATACCTGAAACGATAAAAAGAACGGTATTAGTGAAGTTGTCCCAAAATGGGTTCGTGGGACCTCAAACCCACCCTCTGATGACATGTGGCGCTGTTCATGTGAGAGGGTGGGATTTGGCGTCGGGACAGCACTCACGTTCTCTTCCCCATTGATGGACCTGGGTGAGTAAGGGTCCGCTGCAGGAGGAGGTGGTGGGGGGTAGGAGTAGTTTGCCTGTGTCATGGGTGGTGCACCGGGAGACGGCGGATAGTCTGCCGGATTATATGGGCCTCCTTGGTGGTTGGGCGGAACAGGAGTTGAGCCTGGTGGGGGTGGGAAATGATTACTGTGTGGGTAGTAATTCGCGCCGTTTGGCGGTGGAGAGGGGACATGGGGAACGGGATCGTAGCCCTCCTCATATGAGTCGGTGTAGTCATGGTCGCGGGCATATTCTGTTAATCGTCAGTATGATGATATTCTTTTTCTCCGTACTTTTTTATTGCTTATTTTTATTTTCTTTTCTTTCTTTTCTTTCTTCCTTTTTTTTTTTCTCATTACATGTGCTTTTTCACGAGCTGGAAATAGCATATCAACTTCGTATATGTATAAATACGTTCAAAAAATCTGAAAATAAATAACTAGACAATGATATAATAAGGACATCCTATGCATAACGTTCAAAACCTTTACGTACTTCTTCGGCCTTTCTCCGCCTTCTTCCGCTCCTGTCTTTGGGTATATTCCCTGGCAGCAAGCCCGGCACCAGCAGCAGCAAGCCCAGCAGTGGCAAGATCTCTAGTACGGCTTCTGCTACGTTCTTTATGACGGCTGGAGCGGTGTTTGCGACCGCCATCATGGTCGGAGAAAGAAGAATTGCTTCCTGAGCCGCCATCACGATAACGATGTTGGTTACGGCTGTGACTCCGGCTGACGCTCCGGTGCCGGCTTCTTCGTCGGAAAGATGATTCAATGGCCCTTGGGGAGGATTGCCTGCTCGAGGGCCGTCCATAGTAGTGATTAGTTGGGATGCTTCCGTACACGGGATCGTCGCCGTACTCTATGAGCTGGGGAGCTGATCCGGAGGGGTCAGAGTAGGCTGATGATGGAGCCACGCTTCGAGACCTAGATCTATGTCTATGATGCCGTTCAGAGGATTCGTTTTCCTTTTTCTCCTTGTGCTTTTCATAAAGACCTGCAATTGCTGCACTGCCAAGGCTAGCAGCTGCTATGGGAAGACCCTGCCTAATCCTGCTGCGGGATCTCTCCCCTTTTCGAGATCGAGATTTGCTCCTAGCTCGCTCAATCAACCCTGCTACTGCTGCGCCCGCAAGACCTGCTTCTGCCATTCGCTTGTTGCGGTGGGCAGGGTTTCGACCATTGTCAGACCCAGATTCGGACCCTCGACGACGGCGGGACCGGCTCCGTCTGCCATGGTTCGAGTTGCCAGCTTTCTCACTTCTCTGAGACTTTTTCCGGGCTAGCGCAACTGCTCCCGCGATAGCTGCTGCGCCCAATCCGAGGCCTGCCAGAGTTTTGACGCGGGAATCCGGAGATGAGCGACTGCGGTGTCGACGGTGTCGATGGCGATGCTCCCGGTTGTGATCTCGCCCGCGATCTAGAGATTCTGCGCGTCTGCGGCTCTTACTGCGGTGGCGACTTCTAGCCCTTTGGAGAACATCAGCAGCTACGGCACCCAGGGCACCTGCGCCAACGTCTGTCCCGATGCGGCTGAGTGCGCTAGATTCCTCCTCCCCATCCCTCTTCTTCGAGCGGTGTCGCACCAATTCAGCAGCACCTACTCCGACTAGGGCACCTTCGGCTAGGTGACGTTTGTAGTGATGCGGGCTCTCATCGCGATAGTATCTCCCTCTGCGGGAGTAGACCATGTCATCGTCACTATTACAGTTGCGACTACGACGGCTCCTGGTCCGATGCGATCCTGAGCTGCGAGGGCTATCACCTGCGTAGTAGCGCTCTTCGTACTCATCATAGTGATGACGACCGTCGTCGTATTCTCTGGTGCTTCGGGAGTAATAATAGTCGTCGTCTCGCGGATCACGGGGGCTCCGCAACGCCCACCGCTCGTCGGTGTCAGGTCGGCTGACTAATTGATAATCCGACTCGTGGTGGGAGGGTGCATGGCTCGAAGCACGGTAGACTTCTTTGAATTAATTATTGGCTGGGGTTTTTTTGGGTGATAATAGTATTGTGGGCATGGTAATGACGTAAGGGGCTGATTGGAGTATCACGCTGGGGTATGTAGACTCACGGTCGTAATCTTTCTCCCTACGATATTCGTAGTTATACCGGTCATCTCGATCGTGATGGGGCCGGATGGTGAGCTCGCGTTCGCTCATTGCGGGCCCATCCCGTCGATACATCGAGCTTTGTTCGGAGGGAATGACGTAGCGCTTGACTGAGTAATACCTTTGTTCAGACTGTCGATCGGCCTCGTCCCAGTTACTGTCTCTGTAAGAAGAAGCCATGAGAATCCGTGCCTGCGAATGGATAAACGCAAAATTAAACCCAGCAAAGTCGGTCAACAGTGGATTTCAGGGGCCAAGTTAAATACTTGTTTAACGGGTGCTGCTTGGCAGAGCGGGGTTGGGGAAACCAAGAAATCAACGACTTCAAGCAGAGCAGGCAAACAGAGATTGATAACAAAAGTCAAAAGGAGCAGAAGTATAATAACGATGACGATATCCAATATTCAGTCGCAAGAAAACATACTAAACAGACAGGAGATGATTCTGAGAGGAGAGGTGGGGGGGGGAAACAAAAAAGCAGGATTTTGCAGGTTTACGAATCACCGACGGCTGAAAATTCCACTAACCAGCAAGCGGCCTGGCGCAGTCCAGTGGAGGATGGCAGCAGCACACATAGCAGAAATGCACAAGCGGTGTAACTAGAGCTAAAAGACACGCGGGAAGAAAACCAGGGATTTTGATGCGAGAGTAACTACGAGAAAAGAAAAGGAAAGGGAACCGGTTGGGGATAATTTATAAGAAAATGCATTCTTCGTTGACATCTAGATCTGAGGAAGAATGCCTTCACTATCCAGCCATATCGGGCGCTGCGGGGTGTGAGAGTGGAGCGCTCTGGAGCGCAGATGATCACCTCTCGGGCGTAGACGAGCGAACATGTAGAAGCAAGTTGAAAACAAAAGTGGATATTTCAGATATAAAACACATGCGACTCACCAGCCAGTGATTGAAGATATGAATGGTGTCGATGCCCAACGGCAGCAGTGTCAAGATAAATGCAGCCCGGAACGGATGTTGATCCAGTGAGACGTTGCAGATAGATCAGACGGTTTAGTCTAACCACTGTGGTTTTTTTTTTTTTTTTTTTTTTTTTTTTTTTTTTTTTTGGGTTGTTGTTGTTGTTGTTGTTGTTGTTGAAAAGAAGGATACTGCTGGAGTTTGAAAATAGTGAACTCAGGGAGAACGGAGAGACAAACCGGGGACGTTATATAACTAACGGCTGGGAGAAAGGGCCCAACAATGCCGTTCAAACCTTCAATAATGCAAGGGGTCTACGGGTGACGTCGTCGTTGTCGTTGGTCCCCAAGTCGCGCCGTTGAAATGTGAGCCTGGGCGAAATTCCTGATCTCCGCGGATTGATCATTTCAGGACTAACAGATGTTTTCAAATATTCGCTTCGCAATCACCCGGAGCGGGTCTGTAAATGCTTCGAACAGTGTTTCTCGGTGTTGGGTTCAAAGTTCGTCCTCTCTGCATTGTGCATTTCCTCTGTAGTTGATTGTTCCCCAAGGGTTGGGATATGGATGTGGCGGCTTCGCTCCGAGCTTGTCTGTCGGTGATGCAAGATCCAATGAACACAGGGCCACGATTTGAGCACAGCTTAGCTACAACTAGTTACCAGAACGCCCTGCGGAACAGGAGCACAATAACGGTAGCCATTCATGTAGACGGGAGCTCACAAGATCACCATCGGCAGGCTCCGGGTTACAGCGCTATTGTTCGCTATGCTCCACAGGATGAGTGGCGAATGGGTGTAGGTATCATCAGTTCTTCGTGAGAATTGCGACTCCGTTAGAGGCCGTCGGATGAACAATACAGGCCAGGTTTCCACGCAATAAAGAGCCGCCTTGGGGCTTGTGAGTCATAAGAGAGCATGATTGAGATGTTTGCTTTTCCGCCAACAATAGTTAACTAGTTCCTACAAGGCGAGGCTCCTTGATGCATTTGATGGTTGAACACGGGAGGCTGTGGCACTTCTGCAACAGCTTCATTCATATCAATCACACCGCATTTGTCGTGTCTTTGTGGGCTGTTTACGCAGAGCCTCATGTCATGCATCTGTTCGTTTCTCGGGTTATGTGTATGTGCGGAATGTTGCTCCTTCACGGAAGCGTAGCTCGACGTACTTGGACACATTTATCCCATTATCCTAACGGGAATGCATGGATAGCTCAGTTTTCTCCCAAGTTGCTCTGTTGGATGCCGGGACGGACTTTCTTCTAGAAATCTGCTAGAGCAGCGCCTAAATGGGTTCCCCAGACATTATCAGCCACTTAAAAGGGACATAGGGTTCAATGTCGTGTCTTTGTTCAGCCTTGCGCCCGGCACAGCCTTGGTTCTTCCCAACCACACACCACGGGACTCGCACACAGACACAACAATTCAATCCATGTGTGGGGGTTGGCTGACAGCTACTGGAATGCAAGTGTCTATGAACGAAGAGCAGAGTCGAGCTTCCTCCCTATCATACAACCAAGTCGGTCTCGTTTCCTGGAGTTAAACGCCCCAGATCGCCTTAGCTAGTTAACTGCTTGACATTTTCGAAGCTCGGACACATCTGGTCCGACATGCATCAACACGGCTTCTGGTCGCATTCATAATTCCATTGCATGGTTCACTGAAGACTAAAGCAGACGACTCTTTTCAGGCAGCAGAGATAGTTCATGATATGATCAGGCCAGACAGGTGTAAAATGTATCTAGTTGGGTAGTTGACGCCCGGTATGGGAGGCCCGGGAAAGAAGAGCAAAACCATTTCCTGTGTGGGAACAAACTTTTGTAACTAACCAAGGTTGAGCTGAAGTTATACCATCAATCAGGGCATGGTCAAAAATATGAATCGTTTCGCCTTGTCATCAAATATATTGATGGCTTACGATCTTCGTCCTTTTCTGCTGATCGGCTGTGTGTTCTCTTACTTCTCACCGCTTGTCATGAGTCCTTTTTTTCCTCCCTGTCAATGCTGCGACTGCTTGAAGTTGGAACTCACACATTGAAATATGCCAACCTTCAATCTGCATTGCATGCATCGAAATAACGATCCAGAGTAGTTCTCAACACCACTTTCTTTTCGCCTGTGTGGCCCCTTCAACTACCTTTTGTGTTTGTTGTAGAAGGTTGTTTACTGGGGGCAAGGCTGTCATACCCCGTATCCCGCAGGTATTATGATGATCCATTGGAAAATGAGACAGAAAAGATGACGGAAGATGAGAAATGCAGCCTCATGCCTATATGATAATGGTCATCTGTTGTCGTTTTCTTCATTCTTTTTTTTTTTTATTTTATTTTGTTTTATTATTCTTCTTATTATCCTTTTTTTAATTTTTTTGTTGTCGTTGTTGGCATACCAGTTTTGTAATCGTCAGAAATGCCCGAAATCCAACCTCCAAGTGCCTGTCCGTCAATCTATCAATCTACAACCACCGATTAACAGTAGGTTTATTCCTTTGGTCATTGATTAAAGAGCAGAATGGCCCACCCACAATTATATATATCTTCACGAATTCCCTCCAGTCCCGTGGCCCTTTGAAGATTGATTCCATAGGTTCAGTAATTTTCGTGCATTCTCTGAAGATCCAGAACGAAATCACTAGAGCCCAACATGGAATTCAATGGGCATGTGGCATAAGCGAAAGCACACAAGTGCTTTGGTCCATGTCCATTTCATCTTATCCCTCTACTGAAATCGTGTCGTACGCTGATTCCCTTACTCGATCCGCAACACTTTTGAAACGTTTCCCAAGTCTGGTTTGGAAGGATGTTGGGTTTGTGCAACCTTCAAAAGAACGAGCTCTTGCGGGTTAATATTGCAGCCTTGATCGGATTAAGTGGGTTCATGGGAGAGTAGAGGCACCGAGGGTATGTAGAATACGCCAGAAAGTGCTTCTGCCTGGACATCTCATTGTCAACTGGAATCGCTCAGTTGGGGGTTCGAGAAGAGGTGTCCATAAATTTCCAGCAATCCGTCAATTTATAAATTCCGATAGCCTTCTTCCTCCACAATTATTAGGAACATATTCCTATATCAGGTCTCGCTTTCATGAAGTGTCCAGAGAACAAGGGGACGGTCTCCAGATAGCAATCCCATTTTTGTTCTCGCGGTTGGGGATATGAGGAACGAAGATACCCAGTTAAATGGACGAGCCAAAATGCTCGTCATCAAGGGGAATATGTTATCGGAAGATTCAAGTATGTATTTAGTAAGGTAACTGGCATTCTGGAAGGAATCTGCCATGTCATCGACCGCAGCGAATTCAAGAGTTATTTTCTCCAATGCCCCTCTTGACTCCACTAAGACGGGAAGGCATTAAAAGTTAAATCCAAACCTGTCATTTCAATCACTGAATAACAATGCCGTTGGGTTATCTCTCTATTATGAATAATTCCTTACATATGCATCCATCCAGATGAGACGCTTTCTGGGAGTGATGCCCATAATAATGTCAACAAGACTTGACAGAGACATGGTTTTCTCCGCCTCCATCGTCATCTCGCACCGATGGCACTCATCTTCCATGCAAGGCTCCAGTTTGCTTGCGGGGCAGAGCAGTCTAGACACCGTAGACTGGCGGGACGACGTCATGGCATGGCAGAGTTGAAAAAGTTGGCAGTATCCCAGGATACCTAGGAGAGAATGAAGCTGAAAACAAATACGAATACCGCGGCCCGTTGAAGAATTCAAACGGTAGAATGGTACGGTCTGGACCCAACCTGCATTAAGGGGTAACTCCATACTGGTTGGAGCGATTACAACAGTTTATTAGCGCAAACAGGGTTGGAAGCAAGTGGAATCATTCGACTGGGTGTTACTGGCCAATTTGCTGACATGGTGTCTACGGAACACATATTAAAGGCTCTAGAAGTGCGGGGAGGATTGAGCTCTGTGAATGGAGAGTCGAGCGCTAGAATTCATGGAACCTGAGAACATATGCAAGCCCAGAGATGGTGTCTGAGGCTGCAGAGAATCTGGCCAAACTACATTATCTGTTCGACAACGGTTTTTATATTGCCGATACTTGCCGGCTGCATTAGGAGATCCAACCTTGAGGGGTTAATGCTATTTTATGGTAGAGCATCTGGTAATAATGGCATTGACACTGGGTATTCTGAAGCTCTTGTGATTGTATGTAATTACCCCGTTCTCCGTTCAGTATGTAGATTCTACTCAAAATGTGCATATGGCATTCCAATGGATGACGGTATGATATCAACCAAGGGTGAAGTTTCTGAAATCTGGCAGTAAATAGTTGATAGTTAACTATTGTTAGTTAGAAGTTGGGGTTTAAGTTCAAGTGAAATATATTAGTTATTAGGTTATTTCTTTTTGCTAACAAGATCAGAGTATTGTGGTTTAGTTAACTGTTAGTTAATAGTATGATGCCCATCACTAGAACTTATCTGGTATAATACACCCACTGTGTAAAATTCATTAAACCAATTGCTCTATTATTCCATGAATACTAATAAGCTCGCCATTCAACTTTCCATGCTTATAGGCCTGCTTGTAATACAGCTGCTGCTGTCTTTTGTCCTGAATTTCAGACTTTTTAGTTTGATTTTCAGCCTTCATAGCAGCAGTTTTAAATAAATCATGTTTAATTCTTTCAACATTATTAAACTCACTATTGAGATCAAATTGAACTTTTTTTTCTATCTTTGAGCTATAAAAAATCTATATTTAACTAGAAATCTTATAAATTGTAACTTTTTGAGATCTTTGCTAAGTATTTAAATTTTAATAATCTTATTAATATTTACAAATCTACTAGCTTTAGATAAATATTTTATTAGTTTTTAACTTCTTTAATATTTATTATTATTATTATTCTTTATTTCAAGTATATACAGTCAAGAACTATAATATTTATTTAATTAAATTAAAATTTAATTATTTTGAAGATTTAACTTAAAAGTACAAGTTAATATATGTAATTATATAATTTTATTCTAAAATAAAATATTATTTAAATAAATATATATAGTAGAAACTAATCTTATATATTCTCAATTTTTAAAAAAAAATTAATGGAATTAAACAAAGTAATAAAAAATATAAAATAAATAAAAAAAAATAAAAATCATTAAAGATAAAAAATAAAGAATTAGTTTAAAAATAGTGTTAACATATCAATAAAAATATAAAAAAACTAAAATAAATTTTAAAGTTTGATATCTATTAATTATATTATTTAATATTTTATTTAAGTTTAAAATTTATTCTTAGATTTCAATTTTTATTTTCTTTATAAAGTTAATTAAAAACTTTCTTTTTAACTAAATATTAAAAATAAAAAATATATATAATTAATTAATAAAGTATTTTTTTAAAAAGTAGTTTAATAAAATATAATTTGAACTTTCAATTAAGTTTTAAAATTTATGTTTATCTAAATTTATAAAATTATTAAATCTTATCATATATATATTAAAGTAGCTATATTCAATTTCAATTTTATTATAAAGAAAAATATTTTCTCTACTATATTGATAAAGATTTTTATTTGAGTTTATTTTATATCTTATATATTAATTATTTTTTTCAAATCTATATTTATTTATTATATAATATAACTTTATAATTCTTTTCTATAATTTTTTAAAGTTATTTATTAATTTTTAATATTAATTTTTACTGATAAAGTTACTTCTTCATTTTTTAAAATAAGTAATTTAAATATTTATATGTATTTTTAATAAATCTAATATATTAAAAATAAATTACTAACTCTTTAAACAGTAAGTTAAATAGCTAACTTTATAAAGTTTTTATCAGTCTTCTCTTTCTCATGAATACACTTAGATATTACTATGTCTACTCAAGAAAATAATAATATCTTTTATAGAGTTGATCATGAAGATAATCACTTTATTATTTATATGATAGTTATCTCATTTATTTATATAAAATAAGATATTTTTTTTATATAAAGAAAAGATGAAATAGTTAACTTATCATCAAAATAATATAATTATTTCTATCAGAGTAGTGGTGGTGCTGTAGAGAAATAGTTTTTAAAATATAAAAAATGATAATGTTAAGAAGATATCTTTGACTTAATCTTATAATTATGATATAAAATATAGAAGATGAATATTAAAAAATATCTTTGACTAAATCTTATAAATATAATATATATATATATATATATATATATTATTTTTTTAAAAAAGTTTATAATATAAATATTTTTTAATAAACTTCTTTCTTTTTTTAAAGATAAAGTTTATTATAAATTATTTTAATATATTTAAACTTTATAATTAATAATTAATTATATATATTTTATAGAATTAAAAAAATAAAATTTTTTTAAAATTTTCAAAGTAATTATTTTATTATAAAAATTTATCATTATTTAAATCTTTATTATATATAATTAATAAATAAAAGATAAATATTTTTATTTAAATTAATTAATTTATATTTATATTTATTTTTATAATTTTTAAAGTATAATTTATATAGATTTTATTAAAATAAATAATTAATAATAAAATCAATATTTATATTTTTATTACTATAATAGAAGATATTTTAAATATATTTAATAATTTTAAAAACTTTATTTTAAAGTTCTTAAAATAGTTTTTACGATTTTTTATTTTTTATTATCAGATCTCTATTTAAATATAAAACAGAAGTTATGTATATTATATATATTTATCTTATAGCTTTAAAAGATAGTATTTTTTGTATTTTAAATATAATTATACTGTTTAAAGTTTTTTAGCTTGAGCTAATCTTTTCTGAATATCAACTTTAAATTTAAGTATTAAATCTAATTAAATATCTAGTTATCTTACTTAGTTTTTAGATTTTATAACTTTATTATTTAATAAATAAAATTTTATCTTCTTAATAATTTTTTATAATTAATATAAATAAATTCAACTTTAATTATATTAAATTAAATTAAATTAAATTTTTATTTTCTTTTTTAAAGATATAATATATAGTTTATTTTATATTTTTATAATTTTATTAATTAGATTTATAAGTTAATAATATTTATATTATTATATAATTATATATTTTAAGTTGTTTTTATTTATTTATTTAATAAAATAAAAAAATTCTAATTTAACTAAATAAATATTATAATTAATAATTAAATATATTTTAAATAAATAAATAAATAAATAATAATGTAGATAGAAGTTCTTATTATATATATATATATATATAATATTATAATTTATATATTTATTTTCTTATTTTATATATTAAATAAAAGTTATATTTATATATAATATAATTAATAAATAATTAATTTATTAAAAATTTTAATAATTATAAAGTTTATAAAATCAAAAAATACTATTTAAATTAATAAAAATAATATTAAAAAATAAACTATTATTTTTAATTAATTAAATATTATAAATTATTAATAAATATATAATTATAATTAATTTTTAATTTTTAATTCTTATTTAATTATTATATAATAAATTAATAATATTTAAAAATA